ACTGTCTACTGTCAAATCTTTTTGCTCAAGAAACGATTCAGTGAAAACAAAATCCAGCAAATATACATTTTCCTATATTACACATTCAACTCATCAAAAATCAGTGAAAGTGAACTCCATACAAAACACTGAAAAATTTACTACAGCTAAAATAAAGTATATTGACCTTTGATAAGATGAAATTTGCAAAGAGAGAAAAGCATTCCGTAGTCACACACGATCATATTCTATATCTAAAGAATGAATTCTTCTGTTCTAAGAAATTTGCAAAGGTACTAAAACCAAAACACATGCATAATCCATAGGATATTATATAATTTTTAAAAGCATTAATTATAAGCACATACCAATGACATCAACAGTAATCCTTGAGTGAAGGCAAAACAAATAAAACAAGTAGTATTAATACATTACAAAAATACATGATGAAAATACGGTAATTGCAATATGATGTTAAGGTAATAATATCAAATTTACATGTATGTTTATAGTAGGAATTCTCTGACGTAAACTCACAAGCATCATGGGAAATTTCTAATTACTTCCCATATTTTGGGTGTAAAATAGCACATTGAACAGAAACATTTAGTTCATTGACTGAAATGATTAAACAAAATTAGGATATTTTAAAAAATACCAGCAAATTGTTGATGTCTGGTGAGCATCTGAATCACAGCATTGCAGAAAACACTTAATAAATCTTTGGTCAGAAAAATAAAATTTGTGTTTGATTTGATGATGTCATGATATTTTGAATACTCACTAATTAAGTGTTGATCATTTGAAATCAGGGGGCGGGCGGACTGGACGATTTGTTAAAAAAACAATTGTTGGCATAGTTAAAGAAAAAAAATTGTACAGACAACTGACAAGACACTGTGAAAAAAAAAATTGCAGACACTCCCCCTGTGATTACAAATGTTTGTTTTCCAGAATCAATATATAAATATTCCAGAAAATTTTTATTTTATTTTTTATTTTAAAATACTGTATAGCCATTAAATTTGTGCTTTAATTTTGACTTTTTATGAAAACTAAATTTTTTTTATAATTTTTACAAAAGCTGTGCCAAGCATGTACATGTATAAACTAATGTGTGCAATGACCACACACTAGGAATAGACTATTATATTTTGTGAATAATACAGATGACATATTTACACCTGAACATGATAAATGTCAAATCTGAAAGGTCAGATTTATGTGACCATAACAGTTGTTAATGATAAATGTACAAATGGGAGGACTGTTTTGTTTACAGCATTGACCTTAGAAAGAGATTTTAAGGTGTGTGTTTACAGGTATAAGGGCTTGTATATTAATTTGACCTTTTCATTTTACTGTGAATGAAAAAAACAACCCAACCAGCAGTATTGCAATATACCAAACAGTTATGATGAAAAAGTAGCAATATTGATATTGGCTTAGTTACATTTGAACTATAAATATTGTTATTTTGTTATCAAAACAGTGAGCTGGTTGGGTTGTTTTTTCGTTCACAGTAAACTCACTGTTGATGTCAAATTTATACTTTAAAAACGTCACAAAATCAATGAGATTATTATATATTAAATTGCTTGCAATTCTCGAAGTAGGCAAGAGTTAAAAAATCCACTTTATCTTCCGTGTAGCTACAATCTATACGTAGACTATGGTAGGAAGTAAACAAGACTGAATCGGACGTCACCTGACTATTAAAGTGGGAAATACGTTACGCAAAACAATGACGAAAGCGGAAGAATTTCCCGCCCTAACGGACAGTTAATAGACATAATCGACACTCCGTGACGATCTCTTTTGATTTAAATGTATCTGAACCTTACCGACGAGGTCGGTATAGAGTAGTTACCTTGTTTTTTCCGAGATGTGATCGGAAACACCAACATAAAATTATGGGTTGAAATCAATGGCCACTGACTCTGTGTTCTAACGTGAAATACAGGCAGCAGAACTTGCCAATGCTTGCTCCTGTCGGCGTTCTTGTGCCGCGGAGATGTGATCCAGCGACACAGACGTTCGGTGTGGCTATCACTGAATGTGACCGAGTCCGATCCTCTCTTGAAATGGATTGTTTATACAGAAAACGTCGGTACCAACGGCCCTCCGTTATCACGTTCACCGGTGAAATTGAGCTGCGCATCTGACTAGCGATTGATCAATTCTGCGCATAATGACGTAGTTGTAAACAGGTGAGGTCAAAACAATTGAGCATCACTGTTTTCGCTTTCAGTAATCTCTCTAAATACTAAACTATTAATAATATATAGCACAAAATACTAAAACAAAACAAAACAAAAACAGACAAACACAACAAGTACAATATAAACGATTGACGATGTGTGCTACATACCCAATACTAGTACTATTAATATCATGTACGAGTGTGATGACAGCGTACAGTTCGATTCACGTCCTTTTCGCGAACGATTCACGTACTATTGAAATTCACACAAATATTTATACATAGCAATTTTAGCCAATGTAACAATATTTTTGTGTGGAAAAAATGAAGAACAAGCTATTTTTCATTTTTTTTTAGAAATTCGCAATTATAAATAGTACCACGGTCTCGCTCAAATCGGAAGTCACATATATGTTTAAAAGAACAAAATATAGTTTCAAATTATCACCACTCAGTTCTAAAAAAACACAACAAACAAAATCTCTGAAACAAGAACGTTGACAATATTTTTATTAGTATTTATTGCCTTTTGATCTTCTTTCTCGTGCATTCGAAAAGGAACTGTCATGTGCTCTATGAAAGTATTTATAACCTTGATTTGCACAGAAAATACTAAATTGATTCTTATTCTGCAGCAAAAATATTGTTAAATTAGTTTAAATTGCTTATATCAACATTTGCGCGAATTATAGGTATTTCAATGGAAGTATCAATCGTACATGTATGTGAATCGAACTGTACGTTGTCTTCACACTCGTACATGATATTAATAGTACTAGTATTGGGTATGTAGCACACATCGTCAATCGTTTATATTGTATTTGTTGGTTTGTCTGTTTTTGTTT